TAGGGGTAGGCCAGTCGGAACCAACCAACCGCCCATGTTTTTTTTTTCAATTTCAATTTTTGCTATTTAAAATATATTAATATTGTATTTATATTTTATAAAAGTATATTTACTTTATTTTTTCTATTTCATACTATATATACACACACACATCACAGGGAAAACCATCGTCAGATATACGTAGCTTGAACTTCAGCGGAAGACCTACGTCCATGATAAGTTAATAACTTTTTTTATTTTAAATTTAAATTACAAATACAATAAAAAGAAAAAATATGTTAATCATTATTGTTAAAAAAAATAAACATTCATAATTAGCCTAGGCCTAGTAAGGCTGAGCTCGGATGAGCCACTAGTTGGTTGGGCTTGTCTCCTTAGTCCTGAGTCTAGCTCAAAACCCAGCCCGACCCATGACCCACCTCCAAGGTGGGTTGGGTTGGGCTCGACCTAGTGTGGGTTGCCGTTTGACCCAAACCGGGCTGGGTTGGTTCAGTCCGTGGTTTGAACCTGCACATACCTAACAGTACATCTTCCTAATGTTTATAAAGTGGAAGCTTGCTATCAATATCCATGGGCCTCTCAGTACATCCTGATAAATCCAAACAGGATGCATCTATTTTTAGTCATTTGAAAGTACATTTGCTGCTTAATTCAGTTCAAATTTTCAGCCCAATAAACACATGGCATACAGGAGAACTATGCTTAGTTTTTATTTCTTTTAGGGGGTGTTTGTTTCAAATCCTATAATTTTAGGATATGAATTTCACCATGAGATTTGAAATCTATTGGTGTTTTGTTATGGGTTGGGATTCCTTAAACTTTGTTTGTTTTATCAATATTTTGGGATTTGGAATGCTATAATTTATAATTTTTTGTTTGTTTTAAACTCAAATTGTAGCATTACAAATTTTAGAATTTAAAATCTATAATTGTAACAAACAAGTTTTAGGATTACCAAAATAATAAATGGTGAATATAAGATATTTGGTGAGCTTACCCCCTACAAAAAAAAAAAAAAACAAATACAATTTTTACTCAAGCCTCTCAGGTTTTTATTTAAGCCTTCCAATTTTTTTACTAATTTCTGTAAATACTAGATGAACTAGAATTAAGATAATAAATTTTTACTTGCATCGCTTCGCCAGAATTACTGCAATTTATGCTTAACTTTCCAAAATTTTTATCTTTTAAAATAAATCCAACAAAAAAAATTAACTAACAATATTATCCGAAGAACGGGAAGGGGGGAAATCAAAATTAGTACACAGAATTTTAACTTGGTACACAGAATTAGTACTTGGTACACAGAATTTTAACTTGGTACACAAATTTAGTACACAAAATAAATAAACCCAACATTATCTTAATTATCCAAAAGTCCAAATCAGAATTGACCCAGCCGATCAGTCGTTTTGGATTTCAGACAAGTTACTATACCCGACCCGAATAAAACCCGTTAAGGTCTCGAGCTCCCAAAAAACTTATTCGCGTGTGAGTATTTCGTTCCAAACCCTAAAAAAATCCCAAATCCATCGATGATCCCGCTGCGGAGTTCGCATCTGAGATTTAATGTCATTCTTTGATGGTTATCGAGATCGGTACTAGAGCGTCTCTAGGGTTTCTCAAGTAAGTGTTGTTCTCTTCTTCTTGAATCGCGTAGTGATCGATCATGTAGGAGGAGTGAGCAGCAGCGAAGGTGCTGTGGGCGGTGACAGCATCGCGCATGCCTGTGAGGTTGAGGGCGGAGAGGAGGGAGGGGTGATGAGCTGGACACGAGATTGTCAGAGATCTAGCCCACATCCGATCTCAAAAACAGGATTTCTCAAATCCTAAAATAAATTAGTTTTTTATGTTTTGGTTATTCATTATCCTAATTTTTTTTTAAAACAAACATGGTTTATGGAATTCCAAAACCCAAAAAAATCCCCTTTTTACATCCCAAAACTTAAAATCTAGCCTATATCCCAAAAAAATTGAAACAAACACCCCCTTAAGGGAAAACTAAATCCAAGGTTTTGTGCTCCTAATCTGCTAAATATGGTGCCATGTCACCGGTAATGAAAAAAAAATCCTCACTGTGCTTTTGTGTACATCATTACCCCTTCCCCCTTTTTCAAAGTCTCTCTCTCTCTCATGTCTTTCTTCTCCCTCTCCAAATCATAAGCCTAAATCAATCAATCAATCACCTCTTCTTCTCTCCATCTCTATCTTGAAACTTATTCCCTTTTTTCTCCTCTGAATCTCTCAAAACTAGGGCTTGCTTAAATTTTTCTATGTAATGCCCGAAAACACTCAATCTACAAAGATAGTTTCTCTAATTGATGATTCTGTTGAAGATGGCTCTTAACATGTAATGGAGGGGAG